GGGACGCGGGATGGGGGCGAGCCGAGGGGCGGAAGGGCAGAGTTAGGGGAGCGGGGCTGAGGAACGGAGGTGGGGTCCGGAAAAGGAGGTGGGGGCCCAGCGATGGCGGGGTACAAGATGGGAAGCGATGGGAAGGTTTTAGGGGAGGTTGACTGGTTAGGAGGAAAAGGGGGATCTTGGTTAGAAGTCAGTTATAGGATTATGGAAGGGACTCGCCCCCACTTTTGAGGAGCTCACCATTGGGCGTAGAAGGGGGCATGGGGCGGAAACCCCTTGACATCGGTGAGCTGGAGGAGCTGGGGGTCCCACACGCTTTGTGGGGTCCGTGTCTGGGATGTAGGGTGCAGGGGAGAACGTCTTGGGGGGCAGAGAAAGCTCGTGCTGGGACGGAATTTTTCAGGAATTTTTGGGCTCAGGAGCGAGGAACTAAAGTGGGAGTTTTGGGGACTGATATTGAGGGTGTGGGAGGTGCTTCGCTTTTCCTGGGGAGCGGGGGCTGCCAGGGGCGGCCAGGTTGACGGGAGAAGAGGGGGTGAGAGCCCGCACGAGGCTCCACTGTTGCGGGGTGTCAGCGAGGCCAGGTGTCAGAGGCCAGGCTCGCGGACCTGTTCAGCGGGGCGCTGAGTGTCCCACCGTCGGCAGGTGTCGGACTCGTGCGTGGCTCGATGGGCTCTGGGGCTTTAGTTTACCCCTCTGTAAGGCGGGGGGTAACAAAACAGTGTCAGGCACCTCAGAGCGTCTCTGCGAAAGTCAAGTGCACCTAGCATGCTCCTGGCACACGGCAGGCTGCGTGCTGCCTTGATAATAACGTTCTAAATTAAGGTGTTTTGGGAGGGGGAAGGTGGGTGGGTAGAAAGAGTGGGTTGTCACGGAGGGGAGGGAGGGAGGGAGCCAGTCAGAGCTTGACTCTAGTCCTTCAACCTTGGGGTGCATGGAAGACTCACTCCTGGACCTTTAAAACAGAATCTGCAAAAAGAAAAAAGAAAAAAGGTCCATATTATTAAAAGTGAGGAAAAACAAACATAAAAAGAAGAATCTGCCTGCATCTGATGCTGGGAGATTCTGAGGTGTGTTAAGGAACAAGCGCATGTACTTAGGAGAAGGCGGCCGGGACATTCTGACTTAGGCGTCCCCCACAGCAGCCGTTCGGGGACGTACCCCAAAGGGAGGCACTGGGCCGCGATGATCTCTTTAAACACAGGAGCTTTACCACCTGGCCCGGGACCTGGGTCCCTCCGTGGGCTCAGCCGACTCTGGGACAGGACGGGCGCTGCAGGGGGTCGAACAGCAGTCCCCACCCACTCGATGCCGGGAGCACCCCCAGTCGCAACAACCACAGATGTCCCCAGACACTGCCCAGTGTCCCCTGGGGGCAGAGTCACCCCAGTCGAGACCCCCTGTTAAAAAAAAAAAAAAAAACCTAAATTTTCTCCTGTAAAGAGCACATCTATCTCAGCTTTGATGCTTGGAAAGTTCAGCCCAGATTTGGGGTTTGTTTTTAAATCGTCTTATGCTCTAATTTTGAGGGGGAGGGCAATAAAATAAAAATCACACTGCTCTCAGAGAATTTGGAAACGCCGACCTATTCCTAGGTGGGTCTTTGGTGTGGTCTTTGAACACTTCCACTGATTTTTGAATATGGGATCGATGGATCAGTCGCAGGCGTCGTAAGACGCCCAAGGGCGCGGGTCACTCCGTTGGTTTTGAGCTGGAGCAGGAAGCCTGAGTTTTTAGGTACTTCTCGGTCTTCTGCAGGGAGGATCCTGTGACTGACGCCGTTGTTTTCTGTTCTTATTTCTCAAATCCCGGGCCCTCCCCTCGAAGAGAGCGACAGCTGAAGGTGAGTAGCGCTTACACGCAGGCGGTCCGGCTCTGTGCAAGGAGTGGAGGCGTTTATGTTTCGGTCCCCCATGTGGTGGTGTAAAACGCCTTTTCCATTCAAGGTGTTACCACAGGTTTGCACCTGAAACAAACAGTCGTCCTGAAAATGTACTAGGTCATTCGTATTCTTGCATTTCCGTTGTACTTTCTTACAAAAAGGTCGTAGGGCCCGGCCCCCGAGCTGTCTAGAGAGGCGGGTGACCAGGACAGTCGTGCGCTTGCCGGGTGCTGGCACACGCTTACTCTCCCCGCTCCTTTGTGTTTTGAGTGGGGACAGCAGTGGAGTCTTGTTCCCCAGTGGCCCCCCGCCTGGGTCCTTTAATGCCCAGCTCCTGCAGCCCCCCTCTGGTTCCCCGTTCCTCTTTTGGGTTCTGGACCCCGAATCTCACATTCCCCGCCTCTCTCTTTGGGGTCTAGAGAAAAGCATTTGTGTCATTTGTCACCTGGGAGACCTTAAAGACCAGATGGGGGAGCTGAGAAGGTGGGGTGGCCAGTCGCGAGGGTTCACTTCCTTCCCCCTACAGAGCACTGATTAGCTTAATTCTCTCAATGTGTTTTGTCCTGCCGGTGGGTGGGCAGGGGCTTTGGGCAGCTGAGACTCTTCCAGAAGTGGCTACTAGGTCTCCTTGAGGACCTAGCAAAGGGGAAACTCATATTGTTTTTAATTTTTTAAATCGAGGTATAATTTCCATGTCCTAAAACTTAGCTATTTTAAGCACACAGGCTTGATTTTTTCGGTAAGTTTGTCGAGTTGTGCAACCATCCCCATAAACCCATTTAGAACATTTCATTACCCCATGAGATCCCCTGTCCCCATCAGCGGTCACTCCTCAACCCTCTTCTCCAGCCTCTGACAACCCCAAATCTACTTCCTGTCGATGTGCCTGTTCTGGACATGTCAGGTAAATGGCATCACACACCGTGTGGCCTCGAGTGTCCGGCTCTCTCACCGAGCAGCCTGTGTTCAAGGTCGGTCCACGTCATGGCGAGTGTCAGCGCCTCCCCCCTTTTCATGACCGGGTGGCATGCCCTGTGTGGACGGACACAGCGCGTGTGTCTGTCCATTCACTGGCGGACATCTGGCCATTCCCATCTTGGCAATGAAGGGTTGTGCTGCTCCTCAAGTGACTTTCCCCTGGGGCCCATGAGACCGAATTCTGGGACCTCGTCCGGGGCCAGCCCAGGAGTTTTACCTCTGTCCCTTCCATCTGCGTTTCTTTCCCCGTGAGCTAAGTGCTTCGCTGTCCCTCACTCAGAGCGTCCCCGCTGTTGGGCCAGCAGCAGTCTGTCCTGCCCCGCCGGGTCCACCCCGCGAGGCCAGGATCCTCTCTGAAGCACAGATCAGTTCGTCATTTGCCTGCCACCTTCACCAACTCATCACCCACTCGAAAAATCCCGCTCCCCTGCTCGGCCTCCGTGGCGCCGTGGGAGCTGGCCTCGCCTTACCTTTCCAGAGCGACCTTCACTGTGACTCCGGGGACTGCCCCTTCCCCTGCCCGCCGCTGCCCGCCCCAGCACGTGCCCGGGGCTCCTTTGTGTGAACCCTTCCTTCCTTCCTCTCGCCAACAAAGGCTGGTTGTGTTCCTATTTTAAGCATCAGAACGTGTGCCAGGCGCCGGCAGCGCCATGTGAATGAGATGCTTGTGTGCACGCACGGGGAGGTGTGCAGACGGGGCACCCGGGGCCATTCTGTCCCTCGCCCGGCTCTCGGAGTCAGGGTCCCTGGGGGTGGTGGAGATGGGGGCCCAGATGTGTGTGTTCCGTGAGCGCCGTAGGTGCGGTGACAGTTTTTCAGGGGCCAGAGAGGTGGGGATAACCCCTGTGCATGGGACGGACGGTCGGGAAGAGACCAGAGAGAAGCTTTGCAGTGACAAGTTAGCCAGGGGCTGGGGCTGGGTTTTCCATGCCATCTCTTGCTGAGTCTCCCCCTGTGGACACTGGGGCCACCCGGGGCACTGGGAGCTCCGCCCCCACCCACTTGATGCCAGGAGCACCCCCCAGTGTGATAGCCACAGACGTCCCCAGACATTGCCCAGTGTCCCCTGGGGACAGAGCCACCCCAACTGGGAACCATTGGGCTGATCTCTTTCTAATAATAAGATTTTATGATTTTATGATTGCATTAAAGTGAAAAGATGTTTGTTTTTAAAAAATAGACTATTTTTGAGCAGATGTAGGTTCACAGCAAAACTGAACAGAAGGCACAGAGATTCCCCATGTATCCCCTGCCTCCCCCTCCCAGTGTCCCTCGCCGGAGCGGGCATTTGTTACGGCCAGTGCACCTACACGGACACGCTGTCGCCCAGCGCCCGCAGTTGACGTCAGGGTTCGCCGCTTATGTCGTACAGTCTGTGGGTTTGGGCAGACGTACGATGACCCGTGGCCACCGTTTACGTCATCAGAGTAGCTTCGCCTCCCTGAACATCCTCTGCTCTCTGCCTGTTTATCCCTCCCCATTATTTTGTTTTTATGGGCAAAGTGATGGGAACAGCATAGTCACCTCAAGCGCCTGTTGGGAACTGTCACTCTGTGCCCCACGGAGGTTTATGTGAACCATTTGTCCCCCGTCTCCTCTCCAGAAAGCCGTCCGTCCAGCAGAAACGGGGCTCCAAAAAGCCAAACTGGTGAAACTAATTTCAGTGACGCGTTTGACAACCCCGCATATCCAAAATTTTAGCGTTGCAACGTGTCACCAGCACAAAGGTGTCAGGAACCAACTGCACGTCCTTTCGTACAAAGCCTTCAAAATCTTGTGTGTGTTTTACACTCAACAGATTTTCACATCTCAGGATGAGCTACGTTCCACATGCTCAGTGCCACAGGTGGCGGTGGCTGCCACGCCGGACATCGCAGGCCTAGGAAGTGAATTCAGGGGGACATTTTAGGAGGAAATGAGGCCTCTGGCAGCGTAGGGTTAGTGTTTGTGCACGCTAGGGGTTGTTTTTAGGGTTACTGAAGAACCTGCTGGTTGAAAACGTGGGTTGAGAATCTGAGCATCTGAGAAAGCCAGTTCCTCAAGGGTCCCTGAGGTTGTCTAGTGCAGGGACAGCGTGGCCCAGGCGGCAGCTCCAGCCTGTCATCCGTTTTTATACAGACAGCCCCTGGGGGAGGTGGTTCTTACCCTCTTAAATGGTTGAAAAAAACCCAAAAGAGGCATGATATGAATTGTGACACATTAAAATTATGCAGAGTTTGTATTTCAGTGTCCATAAATAACGTGTTATTGGCACAACGCCGCCACACGTATTCATTCACGTGTCGCCTGTGGAGGCTTTCATGGTACCACACACAAGACTGGCTCAGAAAGCCGAAAATATTGGTTCCCTGTCTCCTTACAGAAAAAGTTTTTTACTACGGCCATGCCACCCTGAACACGCCCGATCCCATCTGATCTCGGAAGCTAAGCAGGGTCGGGCCTGGTTAGAACTTGGATGGGAGGCTGCCTAGGAAGACCAGGTGCTGTTGGCGTAAAAAATAAAAAATAAAAAAATAATAAAGGATTGTAAGCTGACAAGGTCTTTGCAATCTGTGAGGTCAACCAAGGGTTGCCTCGCCTAAAAAATTAAAAAAAAAAAAAAGAAAAAGTCTTTCAACGCACCTGGTCCAATGTGCGTGATTTACAGGTGGGGAAACTGAGGCCCAGCAGTTTCAGCGAGTTCGTGGCAATGCTGGGACTTGAACTGGGGGTTTCAAAGCTTTTATCATTTCATTTGAGTTCCAGGGCCAGGAGAACAAACAACATTGAACTTCAGAGACGTCGCCTCGTGCTGTCCTGCTAGGAGCTCGCATTCCCATCGCCGCCTGGCTGAGCAGGTTGATTTGGGGACAAATATATATACAATGATTCTATTTCCCACAGCTCCGTGCCATACTTAGAAAGAGCAATAATTTATTGTCTTTAGTGTCACAAGACATAGCGGTCTGTCTTCGAAATGAGGGCTCTGAGACAGCTCAGCTGAAAAGCAGACATTTGAAAATGTCAGTTGTGTTTATTACAATGTTACTTCAAGAGGTACAGACTTAAAACTGTGTAAACGTGTTGTGCTCAGAGCTTTTCTACCATAAACAGAAAACGTGTAACGTAAATAAAAACAAGCCAGTGACACAGTGAAGCAAGAATCGTCCACGCACCTTTTCAGGGGAGGAATAAATAATCTTGGCAGGTGCCAGGTGTTTTTTTCCAACGATGTTCGAAGAGCCACGGTCGGCCAAGCGGACCGTGCCTGAGTGAGGTCTGAAGACCGCTTGGTTACACTGGGGACAGATGTCCCCTTGGGCCGTGAGCCCAGGATGGCCTCTGCTCAGCATCCACCCAACCAGAACAGCCTTGTCAGGTGAACTGACTGACGCTATTCTTCACGTGGGCAGAGTTTTAAATATTCGAGGCAGGGGCGAGAGATGAAAGCTTTTTTTTTTTTTTTTCCCCAAATTGCTACTTAATGATATGTAGAGTTGCTTTTGACTTGAACTTTCATGATGATTGACAGACAGCGGGAGGCAGGTGATGGGAAGAAATGGGGCTGGGCGGGGCAGCTTTATTGTTGGAAAAATAGACAGGGCTCCTCTCTCTCTCTCTCTCTCTCTCTCTCTCTCTCTCTCCTCTCTCTCTCTCTCTCTCTCTCTCTCTCTCTCTCTCTCTCTCTCTCTTTCTTTCTCTCTCTCTGTGAAATGAGCGGAGGGTCAGGTGGCATCGTAACTCTCGCTCCGCGTGACAGCACCCCGTCCGTGTGCGTCTCTAGGAAAGGCGGTGGACTGAGTTCCAGGCCTGTTGTTTTTATTATCAATCGACTTTTCTGGGCTCACTTGAGAGGCACAGAGAGGTCACAGCGGCAGTGAGGACGTCTGCATACCCGCGCCAGCTGTCCCCTGTCAGGGTCTCACAGCCTTTCCTGGGTGCCTATGCCACACTCAACAGCCAGTGTGGGTGCATTCCTGTCGACTAAAGCCCATTCTGTATTC